TGGCACGCCAATACTCCCATCAAGAATATTTGGACATGCGTGCGAAGGGGTTGTGTTTTCGCTGCAAACAACCTTACAGCCCGATGCATGATTGCCCTAAAAAATCATTATGCGCTCTCATCGCAGCAGAAGACGAGATCACTGATATCATCTCCAACTTCGGACTAGAAGAATCCCAACAACATCAAGCAGAAACCAGTGAAGCTCAGCTCCATTTTCTAGATCTACCTTTGACGGCAATAGGTGGAATAGATGGACCACAGACAATGAAATTTTCAGGTCATGTGTACGGTGAACCAGTGACTATTATGGTAGATAGTGGGGCAAGCCACAACTTCATCTCATCCAAACTTGCTCAGAAAATTCCCCAACCAATAGAGCAGACAGTCCGCTTTGGGGTTCGCTTAGGAGATGGCAGTCGAGCAACTTCAACAGGGAAGTATAGCAATTTACCAATTCAACTTCAATAAATCACGATGTCATTATATTGCTATATATTTCCTCTTGGAGGTATTGACATCATTCTCGGCGTGGCATGGCTCCAAACATTAGGCGATATCAAAGCGAACTGGACAAAAATGAGTATTGAATTTTTGCGGGATAATGAAGAGATTTGTCTGTTAGGGGACCCATCATTGTCACGTGCCCCTATCTCTTTGAGCTCATTGCAACATATGGACGATGACATCGATTACTGCCTCTTGCTCTGGCAGATTACATCATCAACAGAAACGCGTTTCTCAACAGAGACTTCGGCCCTCAATTCCTCAAGCGCTCAGGTCCAGGAATTGGAACTAATATTGGAGCAATACAGTACAATTTTTGAAGAACCCGAATGACTTCCCCCTGAAAGGAGACATGATCATCGCATCACCCTAAAATCAGGAACCGCACCAGTAAATGTGAAGCCCTACCGATATAGCCATCATCAAAAGGATGAAATTGAACGCCTGGTGAATGAAATGCTATTCGCTGGGATAATCCAACCAAGCTCCAGCCCGTTTTCCAGCCCAGTTCTACTTGTCAAAAAGAAAGACAGAAGTTGGCGATTTTGCGTCGACTATCGCGAACTAAACAATGCTACTGTTCCTGATAAGTACCCAATTCCCATAATTAATGATATGCTTGATGAACTCCATGGAGCCGCTTTTTTCTCCAAGTTGGACCTCAAAGCAGGGTATCACCAAATTCGGGTCCATCCCTCAGACATAGCCAAGACAGCATTTCAAACACATTCCGGCCACTATGAATTCTTGGTCATGCCATTTGGATTGACAAATGCCCCAGCCACGTTTCAAGGCCTCATGAACGATGTCTTCCGTCCGTATTTGAGGAAATTTGTGCTTGTTTTCTTTGACGATATCCTTGTTTACAGTAAAACATGGGAGGCGCATATACAACACCTTCAGATTGTCTTCAGTGTTTTACTCGATAATCAACTAAAGGCTAATAAAAAGAAGTGCCATTTTGGGAGGACATCAGTGGAGTATATGGTACATGTTGTCTCAAGATCTGGCGTGTCCATGGATCCAAGTAAAATATCCAGTGTTATTAGGTGGCCACAACCTAAGTCAATTAAAGGCGTACGAGGATTTCTAGGCCTCACGGGATATTATAGGTGGTTTATTAAAAATTACGGCCAAATCGCAAGACCTCTCACAGAATTACTTAAAAAAGAGGTCGGGGACTTCACATGGACAGAGCCAGCACAGGACGCTTTCGAAAGATTGAAAATCGCCATCACCTCTTCTCCAGTGCTGGTAATGCCTGATTTCAATAAAAGTTTTGTGATCGAATGTGATGCTTCAGGCGAAGGCGTGGGCGCAGTCTTGATGCAAGAGCAGCGGCCGATAGCATATTATAGTAAAGCACTCTCGAGAAGAGTGTTGGCCAAATCGGCATACAAAAAAGAGTTAATGGCATTGGTTTTGGCAATTCAGCATTGGCGGCCTTATTTACTCTTTAGAAGATTTGAAATTCGCACCGACCATCGGAGCCTAAAGTACATTTTGCAACAACGGATCACAACTCCTTCTCAGCAAAATTGGTTGGCAAAACTCATGGGTTACGATTTTGAGATCACCTACAAACCGGGTGTAACAAATCAAGCACTGGATGGTTTATCCAGACAATTTGAGGACAAGGATTTGGCAGCCATTTCTGTTCCCACATGGATTGATTGGGACAAACTTGATTCAGCTGTCCTCGACGATGTGGAGTTACGGGCAATCATCGAGCAACTTCGACTGAATCCAAATAGCCAGCCACCATATTAGCTCGTTCATGGAAGATTATTTTACAAAGGTCGAATTGTCATTCCTGCTACTTCACCATGGGTGCAACAACTCTTGGACGAGTTTCATTCCACCCAACAGGAGGCCACTCAGGTGCGTACCGTACATATCGGCGATTGGCAGCTAGCATTTATTGGCGAGGCATGATGAAACAGGTACAAAAATATGTTGCTGACTGCCTAATTTGC